TATGTTTGTTGTTTTTGCTGCTGGAAAGCGCTTAAAAAGCATAAGCGCGTAAAAAAAGTCAACCTCATTTATTTTGAATATAAACTACATTTTTTACGATTGCCAGCCGCAGTGGCAGAGCTTCCCCACTCGAGGAGAGCGAGAGCGAAAGTCAAAGCACTTTTGCAGTGCGGGAAAATGTTGCGAAAGAAAAGCCTGGGCAAGGGGGAGAAACAGTCAGCAGCTTGGCGACAAAAACAGCGCAGCAGTCACTGTGACTTAGCCGAGCACCTCGGCTAGAAGACCGGTTAAGATATTGCACTTAACAGGACACTGAAAGGAAATCCTTCCGACTTGATAGTCCTACTTTTACATGCTCAAATAAAACCCAAGCCAAGTCTCTACTTCTTACTATAAATAAACTTAATTCAGTCTTCAAAAATGAAATCCTTAAAGAAATCTTGTAATAAAAAAAACATTTTTATACATTTTCTTTCTGTGAGGAAGGTGCAACGCAGGGGCAAAATGATTTGGAAAACTTTCCGAGTCATCGACGGCGACTGCGGGAGAAACTCTTTGATTTTCCGGACGCCCGAAAGGACGTGCTTTGATGCCCATCGATGGCCGAGGGTCCGCAAATGCGAATGCAAATCACTTGCCTTGTCGCTTCATTTGGCCGACTTTAAGTTTTCGTTGCATACTTATGGGTAGCAAGATGGAAACTGTGGCAGAACTCCTTTGCTTTTCATGCAACTTTCTTGCTTTATTTTATTAAAAATGTGGTACCTGATGGAGCAGGCATGATTAATGTTTCATTGGAAACATCGTCCTTATAGTTTATATTAAGTTTTAATGCCTTCCTGTTAAGTTTAATAAAAGTATTGCCGAAACACTGACAGAGAGCATTTGTCTGTCGCCTTTTAAGCGGAGTATTCTTGGTTGCGCGCTGCTCTGGCGCTCGCTTGTTGGTTTTATTACGCATTGTTGCCATCCCATCCGCCCATTCAGCCCATCCAGCCACCTCATGGTTTTTCCTCCGCTCTCTCAGTTTATTTCTCATTTTCCTCCGTATTCCGTTGTCTCTTCAAAAAGGTAACCAATTTTTATTGAGGTCTCGACATTAAAGACAAAAAATGACATACATCGCAGAGTACAAGGTGGGCGTGGCACGTTTGAGGGGGGTGGATTGGGGTTATAGTTCATTGCCGCCTGTCGCTTGTTTGCCTCGAAAATCTGCGCACGAGATAAAAAAAACAACCAGCTGGAGAGAAGAAATAAAGAGAATGCATTTGTCATGACCTCGAAACGGAAACAATTGAAAAAAGCTTTTCCTATCGCGACAACGACAACGACAACGACAACGAATTCGGTTTGTTGTCCGCTTTGTGGGTCGGCGGGGGTGTCCCCGGAATTTTCTGGGGGTCGTCGGTGTCACAAGGCACCTCAATCTCCGGCCCGACCTCTGACCTGCACCCTCCGAATTGCAGCTCACATAGAAAAACGGCTTTTTATGTGCGCCCAACCCAGCACATATCTGTGCGAAAGCTTGGGTGGCTTTATATATATTAAAGGGCTGGTCCAAATTATTAATTTATTCTTATATTAAATAAGGTATTAACTATCGAGTTATGACTGTCTACAACAGCTTAGAATCAAGAAACAATATAAATTTAAGATATTTACCTTCTTTCATAGAATATCCCAGAGATGGATATCAAGGAAATATAACAGAGGCAGCCTGATTTTTGTGTAAAATGATCAGTATGACACAGCTTTCGGCTTTGTTGGGCCACCCTAAAATGCCTAATACATACCGGACACAGTATATAACCAGACTCTCTCTCTTAGTTGCTATATGAAGTCGCCTGGCTCTTTTTTCCTGCACACACAATGCACTGGACCTCGTCCGGCAGCAAAAACATTCAACTTACTGCCAAGAAAATTCCTTCTCTGTTTCCCCTCTTTCTGGCCGTTTGTTTGGCATTGAACAAAGTAAGTCAACTGGCCCAAAAAAGGCACACTGATGAAATGGGGGCGTGGCTGGAGGAAGGGGGACTGAGATTTAAACGGGTTATAGCCTCTGTCCGAGCAGCTTGACATCCCGCACGCACCGCCGACCCAGGTGAAAACTACTACTAGTTAGTTTCCCAGGAGAAGCGTAGCAAATTGGGTTAATCCGCATACCAAAAGTCAGATTGCTCTGCAAAACTTTCGACTTTGGGCTTTGGCAAGCAAAATAAGCTTGCCATCCAATAAGCGATGCCTAAGTGGTTATTAATACCATTGATGTTGCATGCATTCCGAAATACAAAAGGTATCAAACATTCAGCACATTTCAACACAGTTCTAAGAAGTAATGTAATGTAATGGAAAGAGTTCCCTCCTTCCGTTCTACTGTTTTTATAATCGCTATTTGATTTTCATAAACAAGAACCTTTGTTCTCAGGGACTGTAGAGGGAATGTCTGTCGAGGTAAACAACAAATGCAAACAAAGGTAAGCGCTTATTAGGTGCCTGTTAATTTCCCCATCGCATTCATATGCTTTTCCAATCAGGCATTCTTATTTATGATCTGGTAACAACAGTGGATAACTTTTTTCAATCGACTGCCAGGGCCATGCAAATGCATTTATGAGTCCATAAATAATGCAAATCAAAACTATGAAAGATATATTGGGCGTTATTTAATGTTCGGTTTGCATAATTTCGCACACGAAAGCGAGGCTCACAAATATATTGCATTGAATTGCAAATAAATTGTGTTCAAATGCATGTGCGGAAAATAAAAAACCGAAACGTTTAATTTAATTCATTAAGCGGGCCATCGTCAAATAGAACTGATTTGATTATAATTCGAACGGAACTTCATTTTAAGCAAGCATTAGCCTAATGTTTTGTTATCGGCCAGGCAGGCACTCGTGTGTGCCCTTTAATATAATACTGCAAAATGGATCCATTAATATTTCACTTGGCTAAGTGTCCTGTTTGGACACTCAAAAGTGCCCCAGGATTCTGGCCTGAAATGTGTAAACTAGTTCCTGGGAAATCTTGAACCCGTTTCGGCCGAGCACAGCCCCAACTGGAAATTAATTACGCTCCAACTTCATTATTTTGCATGCCTGAACATATTTGCTTTGGCGCTCCATCCACTCCACTCTAACTTCAGCACTCCTCCTGCCTGCCACTGCCTGCTCCTGCCAGAGCTTTTCCTTTTCAGTTTTCAGTTCAGTTTCAGTTTTCAGTTTTCAGTTTGGGCCTGGCTGACACCATTTTGCGCATGGTCAATATTTCAAACAGATTAGAGAGGCAACAAAATGCGCCTTAATTGAATGGCTTGGGCCCAGGACCTCGCCACGCAGCTGCTTCGTACACGACATCCATATTTAATGAGCCACCGACACGTCGCGACGCATCTCTAGCATCTCAGCCTCCTTCCAGGGCGGCGGCTCCTCCGTCCCGATGTCTGCCTCGCCTTGCCTTTCCTTCGAGGCACGCACCTCCCATTTGGCGTTTATGCGCCCTCAGCTAGGGGAACTATCAGTGTCCATGAGATAACGATTAACTGATATGATATATCCATCTATATATGCACATATCTGACCGATTCTGGGACTGAAGCCTTTACATTTATCTAAAATAACATTGCTTCTTAAGTGAGGCTATGGATATGGTGGCAGTATCAATCGAAATTCGATCAAGAGACTACAGACTACAGCTTAATCCCTTCCCATGAACCGCCTTCACGCACATCCTTGGCCATATGAAACACACACACACATATTTGCTGCAGGATGTGTTCTGAGGATAAATCGACTTCAAGAAATTTAATTGAGGAGTGGCAAGTCGCAGTCGCTGGCAGCCCATGAACTCGGTATTCCGCTTGGGGCATCGTTAGCGGCACCTTCAAGGCGTCACGCACTCACTTACATCTGCACACCCATCCACTCGCCCAGCCACACACTCACACACCGCGACACACACACAGGCACGCCTAGTTATACGTAAGCCGAAACATAAATTTCGTTAATCATTGAACTGGAAATTTAATAGCCAAGCCATGCACGCACATACGTACAGTGTATGTATGGGTGTGGGTGCACTCTTCGAAATAATACTTGATATTTTCGGAAAAACCAACTTTGATTTACGACAACCTCCCTAATTAATGTGTCCTTTTTAGTAATATTTACTTTGAAAATGAATCCCTCCTTTCTCTCATTAAAATCGGAAGGGAAAACTATCAGTAATCTTTCTGATTTATCACCACAGCTAGATCCAGCTAGATTCTATTGAAGTTGAAAGGAAAAGAGGTAGTTTATGTGGTGACACTAACCCCCCGTTTCGCCAAGTGCAGTTAAAGTTTCCGCCAGCACAAAATAAAATAATGCGGAAAAAAGCAACGGGCGAAAACAGAAAATTCCATTGCGCTGAGCACATAGCAATTGCTTTGGAAAGGACTTAAGTTATGAGGAGCAAGGGTTCCACTGTTTCGCTTAAAACTACGTCAATACATATATATATTCTATATATATATATATAGAGAGAGAGAGAGAGACAGAGAGAGAGGTACGGGTATAATCGACATTTTGCTAAGAGCACTTTTCCCCCAAGCTCCCCTCCCTGGCACTGCAATTGTGCTGGGGGCACGTTAAAATCTCCATAATTATTTGACCGCTATTATGCGTATAATGCGAGTTGGCCCAAAAGTTGAAAGCCAAATAAAACGAACAGCCGCCCGAGGGCCAGGCGAAGCCAATCCAATCTCCGCCAGCGTCGTAGATCAGGGAAGATAGCATCTGGCCCTCGGAACGCAAAGTGAGATACCCATCGTCCGGCAAAGTTTAGAGCGGAATCGAGGGCAAAGTTTTAAGAATTATTATTATTATTTAAATGTTAATGATTATGAGAATTGGCCGAAACTATCTGCCAAATGCTTAAGCACGTTCGCAAACAGAGAAGCGTCAACCCTAACCTAAAGTTCTCGGCAGAAATTTAATTTTTCCAATAAGAAATGTGTAATTGGAATCTTTTAATCAGATTATTATCTAAGTTTAAGGGCTTGTACAGATTTAAGCAGCGTCCTCAGCCATTTGTTCTTCTTCGTCATCGTCATCGTCGTCCTCGATTTCATCGTCTGAATCGGTCTCGAAGTCGAAGTCAAACTCCTCATCAAGGTCCTCTTCTCCAGACACTTCACCATCGAAGCATGCGTTTGAGACCGCCAGCACTTTGGACTTGAAGACAGATCCGTCCAGGGCCTCAATCGCATTCTCAGCTTGTGCTTCCGAAGCGAACTGGACGAACCCAATGTCATCACAAACCAGCGAGCCTCGGATTTCGCCGTAGGGCAGGCAGATAGCAGCCAGCTCATGGCGAGTGCACACCGGCAGGTTGCGCACGCAGATCCTGTTCAACAAGAAAGTAAGTCCACTTGCCAATAGTGCTCCGCCAATTCCCGTATCAGACATGGTTAGGATTTGAGTAGGATTTTTGTAAGCTCGTTGAAAGTTAAATTCAGAAAACGTGGCAAGTCACTCGAAGTGAGACCAGAGATTAAGTAGAAAGAAATCTTCAACTTTGCAGGACTTTGTTCAAGTTCCTACATAAATTGGAACAGTGGAAGTGAGTCACAATGCTCCCTAACCCAACAATTTGCAAATACGATCTCGCGAAAAAAGAATAAAGATAAACGCATGTTCTATTTTCAGATCCCTAAGCAAAGGCAATGAAATAATTAAATCTTGGCCTTTGGAATGAAACTCCATCTAGCTTTCAAGATCCGTGGACTGCCAAATTCAAACTGGTTAAAGCGGCGAAACGCTTTAGATGCATGGCCGAGAAGCAAATGGGACCAGAGCAGAAGCAGGGCAGCTATTAATAATTGTATACTTAACTGCATCTGACGGCGGGAACCGGGCAAGCAGCGTAATGCCCTATGAGAGCCGTTTCAGCATAAGCAGTTCCGATCCAATCCGATTCTCCATCGCCATCGCCATCGCCTCGGCGTCTTGGGCCGCGCCACTGGCAATATGGCCACACTGGAAGATACCCAGAGTAAGTTTCGCCTTTCAAATTAGTTTTCAAGAAGGGAAACCCTTCGATGTTGCATTAGCAGGGTTAGCTTTTAATGGTATCTAACATTATGCATTTTGGACGCCTTTGGAAATGATTTCGAAGTGCTTACAAAAATGCTTTTCATAATTTATGAAATTCCATTTAATTTTCCACTATAAAAGAGCTGTATTCTTGTTGCTACTTCTGTGATATTTCTCTCCGTGCAGGACACGACAGCGGACCAGGCCGAAACCTGACTCCGGCAGTCAACTGGCGGGCCATAAAGCGAACTGCGTTAAATCCGCGAACAATCGCTGGAGCAGCTTGTGCTGCAGTCAGAATGGCCAGGACTTCGCCAATTCCTCCTGATCTTCGCCCCACTTTTGCGGACTCGGTCCATTGTTGCACAAAGTTTTTTGAGTAGCAGTCACACCATAAATGCCAAGCACCCCCATTCAGCAGTACACTAAGCCAAAAAACAAGGTTACAGATTTAATGAATCTCTGTTCGAGCAGTTCCTTCAAGCTCTCAGTAAGTCTCCAAGGTGTTCGTCTAACCAACGCCACTTAACTTAACGTTCCTTATTTGTTAAGATATTAAAAACCCATTTCAGGGTATTCAGAGGCAGCCATATCCTGATATCCAAAGACTAAATTACCAAGAGAATGTAAGTTGGATGTAAGATTTCGCCGGGTGTAATCAGCTTTCGACACTTGAGCGGACGATGATGTCGTCTGCTTTTGGCACGGCCACGGTCTTGCCTTGGTGTTCATTTCCTGCTCCTCTCTGGGCCTTCTAGCTTGTTGTGGCAGTTGTGTCTTATTAGGATAACTCAGATAAGTGTCGCTGAGACTCCTGCCATGGCCAGGATTCACGCCCACGTTCCGATTTCTCTGACGGTCAATCAATTCAGCGGGCTTTGCCTTAATAGTCAAATACCAGCAAATATGAAGGGCAAACAAGCAAAAAGTTTTCCCAAAATATGTAGTTTGTATAACCGCTAGAAAAAACTGCTACGAAAACTTTCAAATATGCAACTATTTATAGCTCAAATTTTTAAGATGGAAATATTTTCGGTATAATAGGCCATTTTAGCCAGATGATTGTGCTTAAAAAGCCAAGGGCCAGGCTGAGATGCTGGTAATATAGGATTACGAGGCTGTCTTAAAGGCAACCCCGAGGTATGTCAATAGAAAAATAATATTGTTCTGACACCTGCTGAGATTTTCGAGTACATAAGACCACAGGGCAAGGACCTGCGAAGGATACGGGGCAAAGCATGAAGAGCCAAGGACACAGAACGCAGAACTCAGAAGCGGAACGAAAAGAAAACAACAATGGCCAACGGAATGGCTCCCCTTCTTTTTTGTGGTACTCCACGGACTGGATGTGTGCGGCCGTGAGAGCCCAGCTAGTTAGTTATATACAAATATGTGAACAAGAGGGTCCGCAGAGGCTACGGTTAGTTAGTCTCATCCAGTAACTCACTCTGGCTCCGGCTCACTCTGCTCTCCACTCACGCTGTCAAACAATCGATGGAATGTGATAAAGAGTTGCTTAAATATTAAATGGCCAGCTCTGTGTTTTGTGTTGGGTTTTGTGAAGAAATGATTTCCCTTCTTTAAGCACTTTAAGTCACATTGGGGAGTCGTTCATCTTGCCTCCGCGTGTCTCCTCGAGACAAATGGTATATCGATTGGCCAAAATCACTTTAGGGATATTTGAGACATCTACCCGGCGGGAAAAGTCCTTAAAGTATGACACTTTTGGGGCTTCTTGCTCGCTCTAATCTGGACATCCGTCCATCCTTTCCCTTAGTTTTTGTGGCGGCGTACTTTCTGCCATTTAAATTAAATTCCTCCCTTGCCACGACCTTTTTCCATCCAAACGGAAGTTGTTGTGCCTTTTTAAGCTGCTTATGAGTTTCTTTCTCCGGCCAAACTTTGTAAATGACTACAATTTCTTGGGAACCGAACTCGCAAATTATTGAGCTTCGAAATTCGATACATTCTCTGGCCTTTGGGAGTAAAGTTGAAATGGGCATTCAGCACTCCAGTGCCAGTGCTCAAGTGTTATGTACAAAGGTTGCACTTGTGAGGCAAATTTAATCTAGCCAGAGAGGAGACCGCGGCTGTTTGCTTGGACATTCAAGTCCTGAAGTGAGTTTTCCACTGCTTCACGGGGTAGCCCCAAACACATAATTTGGCATCGCCAGGACAACGTAATTCGTATTCATAATGCCACCATTGTTTTATAATATCTCACGGACCCCGCCGCTATTTTCCCTATTTTTTGCGCTTTCCGTTTTAATTCCTGCGTGTGTTTTTCATCGCCCACATTTAATTCGATTCCCCTGCCCGGCGCCCACTGCTGTTTCATTTGCTTTTCAAATTTAACTTCCATTGTGGCATCTTCCCCAGCAGCACGCTTCCTGTGGCTTTTTGACTTTATTAAAACTAATTTTATTTTTATCTCTCCATTTCGTGATACATTTTTTCTATTCACCATCGAGTTGTTTGTTTTTTCCGCAGCCCCACTTGCTGTAAATGCCAACGATCTCTAGTCTCTGGTCTAGTTGCCATGCGATTTTCATTCCCAGTGCCGCCTTTTTACGGCCCGGCTCGCTGCTTTGTAGGCCGGAATGCACGAAATAATTTTCATAATAAAAGCAAAACAAAAACAAAAACAAAGGCAGAAGCAGAAGCAGAAACAGAGAGGCCGTATTAAAAACAAAGCACAAGATGGAAGAGCGCAGACAAACGGACAATCGGACCTACGGGCATCCAACTACGGAACTACGGCATTCGGAAAAAATGAGGGAAGCGGAGAAGTTCATGGTTAAACAAACGGCTTGCCTGGCATATGATAGAATCAAAGGAATTCATTAAGCATAAATATTTTAAAATGTACAGATGCTATCTTAAGAAGACATAATTCTGTCGACTTAATACTGTTAAACTGGCTTTCTGATAAAGGAATTCATTTGCTGGCTTTCGGGGAATGCAATATTTCAGCTACTCCAGATCTCACGAGAAAACTGCCAGCTACAAAGTGACTTTAACTATAAATTTAACTAAAATCGAAATCGAAGCGAAAATAACTCCTTTAAAGCCCTGCAATCTAGTGGTGGAATTGTTTGCCCTGCTGCCGCTAAACCAAATGTGTGGTACCCTGTAAATGACCCGAAAATGTATTGCGGTATTTTATTTGCATACTTCTGTGGTCGCACACAAAGTGATTTAAAATGATAATTCGGACGAGAGTCTATGGCCTAGGCCAGACAATCCGCCGTAGATATACACGCTCGCTCGTACATGCGTCCGTATACATATATCTGCCATCTAATCCGCCCTTTTGGCTGCTGGTTTTTGGGGCGGCGAGTAATTTTGCTTTTTCGTAATTTCAATTAAAATTATTCTACGAGCGGAGGACAACGAGAGGCCGCCGCAACGGCAGTGAAACTCGGGGAAAAGGAGAAAAATATATATATTTCAAGCTGGTGCGGCGGAAAAGGGCAAATAATCGAGAGGCAAGTTAACAGGCTACATAAGTAATACGCACTTGCCTAATGGGCTGCTGTTTCTTCTGTGCCTTCTTGTGCCCGGGATGCTGGGATGCTTGGATGCCGGGATACTAGGATGCTAGAATACTGGGCTACAAGGGACAATCCCATCGTAACGCCCATTTTTCCACCCTCCCGGTGACAGTCCATCCGTCGACGTCCCAGAGCGCCATTACCGCAAAAACTTTAACGCTGAGTTGTTAGCAGGAGTGCACTGGGAGAAAAGAAGGCAACTGGATTGGCGCTGAAGTCTGTAGACCTTACTTATAGTTCAGATGTATACTGAACTTCCTTACGCCTTCCCGATTTTAAGGAATATTTAATCCTTGTACTTTCGTCACAGCCTTTCTCCAAGTGCAAAGGAAGAGCAGAAGCAAACGAACTTAGAAACACAAACACGCGCCACACAGACACCCTGGACTCTTCCACACAGAGGATGAGATGGAAGCACATACACCGACGCTTACAATGGTAATGTGCGTGTGCCAGTGGGCGACAAGGGGTTAAGGGATATGGACTAAGACAACTCCGATCAACCCCCGCTGGCATCCAAATACCCAGCCGAAGCCGAGGGGAAAGTCAAGCCCATGTAGAAAGGTTTTAAATTTTTAAAAATGTTTAACAAAATTTTGTAGAACTTTTTGGTTTACAAAATTAACATCTTTTAAATAGAAGAGATTCCTAAAACATAATTTTAAAACCTTAATCTGTAATAGTTTAAAAAATAACTGAATGAAGCCTGGCTTGAAGCTGCACACTCTCCTCAGAGAAACAGACAAGTGCGAAACTCACCACAGAGTTCGTGCAGCGAAGCTTCCACTCAGTGCTCCTTGCCCCTTGCTGCTGCACACTCAGTTTATTCTGCCACTCACACTCACGCCCGAGCAGGACTCAGACCCGAGTGCCTGTGGTCGTTTATCGCGTTCGGCCATCGTCTGTTGGCCTTTATTTCATCTGGTCGTCGGCTCATCTCATCTCATCTCATACCGATGCCTTTGGCTTTGCGTGGCACAACTCTTCCATTTGATTTCTTTGGGGGCTTCCTTCGTCCCCTTCTAGCTGGCGACGCTCTGCCTTAGCCAAAGACCAGAAAGTGGGTCATTTCAACAAGCAGGACTCGGATTCTCTAGCTCCATCTGAGACTGCAACTCAAGCTGACTGAGTCTGAGTTCTTGTTAAATAAACCATGCAGGCCCAGAGATATCTGTTGTTATAAGTACACAGTGGGAAACGCTCAAATAACACGCATTTAAGCCGCACCGAAAGCAATCTTGTTTGATTGGCAGCGGTTTCTGAATTTAAAACGAATCCAAGACCCTTTGGTTTCATCTTTCGATGAATATATTTAAAGTCATGTAGGAAAACTACATCTTTATATCAAAAAGAGGAAAATATTTCCCAGTCTGATTTTTGCGACATTACATTTCATAGCAGAAATAATCTTAGATCTTTAGAAACAACGATTTTAATATTATTTCTCATTGTTCCTGAAAGTTCAGAGTTAAGTGGGACCAATTATCCGCCAACAGATGTTTTCATAATTAAGGCTGGCCACACTTTTTATAAAATTGTGCCAATTGGACAAAAATGATAATAACAATAGTGAAGTCCAGTGGATCAATTGAACTTCAGTTCGTATATTTCTAGAGAACTTCCCGCAGTGCCCACCATTTGGAAGATTATCTAGGAAGAGTATGGATTTCAACAGGGCAAATTAAGTGCGAAAGCTGCTGTTCTGGTCATCAACAAGAATCTGAAGGCATTCGCATACGCCTTTTATATCAGAGAAGAACTAACCTCTATGTAACTAACTTGGACTTCTCAGCACTTGGCTGTCAGTCCAAGGTGGTTTTGAGATCCAAGAACAACGTCACAGTTCACCTCTTTGATGAGGATCTATTTGTGTTTCCAAGTCAGTCAGATTGTCCCATACGACTTTACGTTAAATGAGTTTCTTATACATTTTGGAAGCTCTTAGGAAAACTACGACATCATTTAGTGTTCTGAATTCGAACGTGTTAACTATGATGCCTTAAGCACATAAATAAGTAAGTAGATAAATAGATATAACCAACAAAATATGATCTTGTCTGCATTGCAGTGCATTTATACGCTACCAGAGGCCGGCTGCACTTGAGGGGTTTTAATTTGCAACTTAAGGAAATATAACATAATGGCAAACTTTAAATTTTTGATAATGCCAGCAACAGAGTCAACTGCTTGGCAACCACCGAAGGATAAGGAGCATCACCAGCCAGAAGCAGAAACAGAAACAGAGGCACAAGCACAGACTTCAGCGTCCTTCCTCCTTCATGTAACGTGCGCGTGTGTGCGCCTCCGCCCCCATATCTCAACCCCTTTTCCATGTTTAAGACCCAGCAGCCACTTGAAATTCGCAGTGCTGTGAACTTCCCAGAATTGCAACTCAAACAGATAAATTGTTCTTAACAAAGCCTCGTAGCTCTTTATAGTTTCCAAAAATACGAGGACTCTTAGCAAAATGAACAAAACATTTTTGAAATTAGACCTCTAAATTCGGTTTTTTGTTGGCAAAATAAATGTATGTTAATGAAATGAATTCAGAAATAGCTTTAGTACTTATCCCGACACTTCAGCTAATAGATATTCCGAGATCTTGACGTCCCCACGGACAAACGTACAAACGGAGAAACTTGTAGAAGCGCAGATCAAGTTAGGAAAAAGTTCAAAGAATCAAATACAAATGCTTATAGCTTTGCTTTCTTAAGGCTTGAATACTTCATGCATTCTCGCCCGCTAACCGTTGGAATTATTCAGCTGTAAAGCCGAGAATATATCGCCAAATTTGGCCTTGGAATGTACATTCGAGGTAAGCCCACGGGAAGCTTACGTCCCTTACGTCCCTGCTCCTGTCAGCGGCACCATCCTTTTCTGGCGTCTTTCACTTGAACTTCTTCATCATCTTCATCGTCCTCGTTCGTCCTCGTCCTCGTCGTCGTCTTGAATTTTGCGTAGTTATTTTGGCAAGTGCAAACGAGCAATTTGAAGTGCTTAAATATTTGATATTGGTTTTTCCTTGCCCCCCCCTCCTCCAGCCACCAACTCTCTAGCTGTCTAGCCCTTAATGCCACGCCCCTTTTGCCGCCCTCTTACTTAAGTTGTGTGCAACATTTTAATGAAATTGCCGAATCATCTCGGGCAATGGCTGGGAATCAGCGAAGGAATTGCAACTGGCACCGAAATTCGATTTGAGGAATCCCAAGGGTGTTACATAAATTTCAAATAAATTAATTTACACCCGCCCGCCCATCAAGCCATTATTTTAGAACTGCGGCAGGAACCCTTATCGGCAGAACTTGTATACTTAATGGAAATATTATATAATGGGATAGGATGGATATTTCGGCATGTGTAAAGTTGCTCAGAGATGCAATCGTTTAGCTGTTAACTCAAATGATTTCAAATCGAATTTCTGGGCAAATTTTGTAATGCCAAAATCAATTAGATAATTGTTTGCACTTGTGTGCACACATGGAAGCTAGTCTGTGGCTCTGGCTGTGGCTGAGTCCGTGTCTGTCTCTGTGTCTGTGTCTGTATCTGTTTCTGTGGACTGCTGGCGCTTAGCATAATTGTTAAATTGTCGAACATCGACTGCTGAAGATTCAATTCCCAGTATCCAGTATCCAGCATCCGGCGTCCGTTCACTTGAATGCCCCAAGTTCCCGATTCCCTATTCCCGATTCCAGTTCACCCACATCCCAGGCATCCAGCAGCCAGGTTGTGTTCCTCCAAGGCAGCAGATTAAAGAGGCAATAAATAGGCATTAAGTGGGGCAGAAAAGTGGGATCTGGAGCACCAGCAACCAGCAAGCAAAGCACAGACATCAGACATCAGACAGCCACAAAGAAATGTAAGTAAGTTGCATGGAAATGTTTTCTTTTTGCAATTTGTTGGGGTTTGAAGGCGATGCGAGCCATTCTCAAGCCACACGGCGAAAGTAGTGGGTAATTTGGGGTCGAGCTAAAGGGAAACAACACTGCGAATATTTAAGTTGATTAGCTCATCCAGAAAACAGCAACAAATTGGAAAATTAAGAAAATTATGTATAATATAGTTTGATATCAAATTAAAAAGAAATCTAACTTTCCAACATTTTCCCTCAGTGTCCCCCGTTGCTGTTATTGCTTCTGGTCAGGACCGAGAGGAGGGCCAAGGACAGGACAAAGATGCGGACGCGGATGAAGACGCATCATCAGCATCAGCATCAGCAGGAGCAGACGTAAGATTGTGGCATCCTTCAAGTGGATTGCTGCTAGACAAGCTGAAATAAAAGCGAATAAAGGCCAACGAGGAGACGGGCTGGTGTGTGGACTTGGATGGTTCAGGTGGTGGCGGCCCAGAGGGTGGGGCGTGCCACCGCAAACGCTGGCAGATGGAATGGGGAATGGGGAAGCCTTGGCTTGCGATGGCGATAAGCGCAGAAAAGTTGAAGAAGCAACCGTAAAGAAGTTCATCTAGATACAATGAAAAGAGCGGATCGAGGGGTGAGGACGGCAGTGGGGGAAAACCTGCTGGAAGATGGGCCGAGGGGTGCCGAGGGGTGCCGAGGGAGGGAGAGGCGACAGGGGGACTCAAAGTAAGACATTTAATATGAGAAACGAATTAAAATGGAATAAACGGAACTATCAGCGATGAAGGAGCAGATTAAAGACCATCGAAGAGTAAAAAAGGGGTTGCGGAGAATGGGGTGAAAGGGTAAGAACAGTGGCGCAGTCAGGACTTGATACTGCATGGGCGGGGTTGGTTAGTGCTTCCAGAAAAATGTTCGTAGCTTTCTTTTTGAACAGAACATTCGTCTAAGACTGCAACAGAGGGGACTCCCTAAACCCCCCTTGGAAGAATGACGAGTGGAAAGTGAGCAAAGTCTGGTAATAAATAGAGATTAATGGAAAAGATAAGACAGATAACAGATGGAATTTATGTCTCTATATCTGTGGGAGGAGGACCACCAAAAAATGAGCAAATGCTGCCCTCGGCAGAAAGAAAGTAAGGCAAAGAAATGCAATAAGAAGATGGGAAATTAACCGGAAAAGAAAGCCGAGAAAATGCAAAGGTGTGGCCAGAAGAAGCAGAAAGAAGCGAAATTAAAACTCAAGGAAAGGACTCTGGGAAAAGGAACGGCAAATGGCAAAGTTAAGATGACAACCCACAAAGAAAACCGATTAAATGATAATTTAAATACCCAGGAACGGAGGGATTCTTGCAGAAAGCCGAAGTAACTGTGACAACCCTGTAATATTCGGTAAGTTTCCTTACATAGTCTCTGGTCCCACTCTGAGTGATTTGACAACTTTTACTGCTCGTGACAATCTGAAAGGAATAGGAAATAAAATCTCGACAATGGCTGCAAGCAACGATATTGGGGGAATTAAACTAACCACTGGACCAACTTGCCTCACCAGCAGGATCTTCGTGCGCAACCTTCCGGCTTGCACCCGCCACGAGCTGGCTGAATTATGCCAGCCGTACGGGAAAGTCCTTGGCTCGCTAGTCTATAGAAGGCTGGGATTTGTCCAGTTTTCAAACAAGAAGGAAGCCGATCTCGCCATAGAGAATCTCGAGTACATGGTCTTCAAATCCAATGTGCTTTATGTTTCAAATGCCAGTTTCCGATCCTTGAAGCTGGTGGTTAACTCCCTAGTGGACATGGTGAATGAAATCAGGGCAGCTAGAGGGGAGGGGCCGGGCCCCACCTTAGAGGAGTATGCCAATATGGAGATTTCGTCCGGCTCTTCCGAAGATGATTACTCTTCCGAGCTGGAGGACTACCCCGATCTTATGGAGTATGTCGAGCAACACCCCAATCCTCTTGACGATGAAGACTAACCGCCAAAACTTTTATAAACTTTTAATCTAATTATAAATGAATAAAACTAATTATATATTTATGTCAATGCAAAAGGTTACATTGTTTTAATACTGCTGACAAGGGTTAAAATGTAGATTACTTTGGGGGGTTAAGAAGCCAAGTAATATGCTTAGTTTAACACTAAACTTGCAGAACAGCTTTTGGCCAAGGCCTTCTGAGCCAAGTGTATATCTTTCCAGCTAAAAGCATTTCCTATTTACGATCCACTCCACCGATTTCGATGCAACATAAAGCGAGGCAGCACTTGGAGGAGTTTTAAAGGGGAGAGTGCAGGAAAGGGGAAAGGAAAGTTGGCTGGCAATAGCTCGAATTGCGAAGAAATTCTCTTCCCGACTTTCTCCTCGACATTCTCCATGCTCCATTCTCATTTGCAGCCCGAACTCATCTCACTTTTGTTGCCCGAAAGAATTTGCTCATTAGAACTTGGCGCAGCTGGCAAACTTTTGCACACAGCCTATTCCTGCCTATCCTTTTGGACCATGGCTCAGACCACCCCCTACCCATCACCCGTCTCCTAACCATCCCTTTCGGGCACCCCCAATGGATTTGCCATGTTCCGTGTTAGTTAGCAAAAGTGAAGAGCATCACACAATTGCATGTTGACTACCATAAAACTCATCGCGATGCATGGCACACGCTCAAACGCACACAAGTCTTCGATACACAGTGGCGGTCAAGTCACTAGGTGCAGGCTGAGTTTCCTTGAGAAGCCGCTACAAAAATATACAAAGTAGTTTTGGTTTCTGAAATGTATAAACATCATTTCTCAATCTTAATGAAACCTCTTTTTTACGTAATTCTAATTCTCCTTGAAGTAGGTGTTATTGTCTTCACCGCAGCAGTACGAACATCGCACTGCAGCCCCCTGTACCCCCCTGAAAAAGTCCGTACCGCTAGCCGAGCTCACCAAACTATGTGGTTTGGAGAAGTGTGCGCCAAGCATGTGGAACACAACGCAAAAGTTGAGCAAACTATTGCGGCGATCTCCGAAGGCGGAAAATGGGAAATGGGGAATGGGGGAGAGGCAGAGGCAAATGAAGCGTGTGAAAAGAATGCACGCACACACTAACACCTACACACGGTGGATAGAAAAAACAATACATTTAATTAAAGTTGAAGATGAGTTGCAGTGTGCAACGTGCAACTTGCAACACGCTGCACACCACCTAAAACTACTTTAAAAAGTGTTATCGTTGCCGGCAAGGGGACTGCCCGACTGTTCAAGAGGCAGAGCTCTTGAGGGTCTGGTGGGTGGGTCAGGAGGTCACACAATGGACAGTCAAGGTGAAAGAGAGCAAACTCTCGAATTTAATTAAATATATATTGTATACCGTCAGCAATATCAGAGAAATGCAAAACTTTAAAGCGTAAATTATCCCAGACCTCCTGGTGTCCTTTTCCCTCTGCCTTCTTCCATAGCCCTGTCTGTCCGTCCCTCTTGCTCTTGACCAGCATTTTATTACTGCACTAGTCACTCCCTTCGTACATATATATAAATATATATATATATATCAATAGGATATACGCCACTAAGAGAAATCACTTTAATGTTGGAATAACAAAATTATCCATTTTGAGGACCATTTAAGACCTTTATTAAGGAAAATGAAATGGCAGAGCTGCTTAAGGTGCATGTAAACTATATTATTATTAGCATTATCAATAACGTAATAAGAATAGAAAACGTGTTTAACAGTTACTGATTTTGAAAATCGAACGTTTATATTAAAAAAGATATTCACTCTGCTCCTGCAACTTCGCTGTCAGTGTAAGAGTTTTAGCCCAAGAATTGTTGTCGCTTCATCCTTTTAGGTGCCAGCTTTTCCGCTTCCCACGGAAAAGCCCCACCCCCCATTATCGCCGCCCCTTCCGCCCCACTTCCCCCGACTGTTGTTAAATACGGCTATCAGCTTGATGAATAAAACTTTCTGCACAGTCACAGTCACGTCACAAGGCCCTGGCACGCCCCCTTACAAGTTACCAGTAACTGAAGCCCCCTGCAAAATCCAGAGGACCCCCTCGAAGCTCCACCCGCACCCGCCGCCCGTTTAGCCATCTCCCGCGGCATGATTGTCAAGTCATGTTTCAAAATGTTGGCCAACCAAATTGGGCAAACATTTCGAAGTGCATTCGAAATTAGCAAATTGCTACTGGAAAACGGGGGCGTGGACGGTGGGCTGCTGTGTGGGCGTGGCCATGGCCATGGCTCTGGCTTTAACATTTATATGATACTGCCAGTCCGGAATGGCCCGGAATCATTTGTAATTCAAAGTGCACCTTGCGTTGATTTCAGCTGCGTCTTTTACTCTTCCGCTGCCATCTGCCCCAAGGACCTTTGTTCGTAAAGAGGGGGGAGGGTGTTGGGTTTTGGGTATTCGTAATACCTGAGCAACGGTGTAATGTGTAATGAAAGTGCAGCTGGAGCTGCGTTGGAGCAACAGTTCCCAGCGCAGAAGTCATTTCCGTCTACCGCCAGCCGTTTCCTAGCCTCACCTCATTTCGCATACCCTGAAATCAGTGGGAATTCCAATCGCATGGCCGGCTTCCAAGATTTAAACAAGATTTATTAGTCGTAAAGTGGTTATGGGAAACACCAGGGGTCAAAGCTCTGCACTTAACTTATACTGCTCAGCATTGACTAAGCCAGTTTTAGGTCTTGTTTCGCAAGGATAGTCATATTTTCAAGTGATCCTGAGACATTGGCAGGGTAAGAGGTAATTTCCACGTCGATGTCCTGCAAAGTGATGGCCCGTCACACTGCAGCCATAACTGAAGGTGCAGAATTAATCGAGTTTACGTATGGCCAGCGAAAGGGGAAGAGCCTGAGTGGAGGAAGTCGCGCGCGACAACAATAAATGCTAATTTCCTTTGCTGAACATAAAACACTCTTAATTGAAAGCGCTGACGTAAATAGCTCGGCATCCGCCATCCAGCAGGATCCTGCAGATGGGGAAGGCAGATGGAGGCGAGGCGGGTGCCAGCATGCCAGTGAGTTCCCCATCAAAATTGACAGCTGCTCATGCTTAGGCCCCCCAAAGTTTCTCCAGCCTCTCGACGACAAAACCGCCGAGACAAGCCACGCACAGCAAACAAGCACATAAACAAATAAACAAATAAACAAACACAAAATGCGACACTAGCACTCACTCATACACACGGAGGAAGCGCACAAGCACACACCAAGACGCGCAAGTCAAGAAAAGGACGCAGACGGAGAAACAACAAGGAAACAGAAACAGCGGAGATCGAGGAAGGCCCACAAAAGTAGGCTAGCAAATACGCTACATAAGAATATTGCTTCCAAAGTTCTTTACTAAATGTTATTAACGCTGAAAGTCTGGATTTTATCTTTTTGAAATTTGTTGGTAATTAAAAAAAAATAATAGTTCAAAATAACTTAAGTTCAAAAAGTAAGTCAATTTGAAGAACTTTAAGCAACGAAAGCTTCTTCTTATTTCATGATTATTATCGAAATGTTACCTTAACTCATAGACTCAGAAACACCCTCCCTTATAGTTGAATGGAACTTGTACTACTTGTGCTTGTAAAAGCCATTTAGCAACTTTAAAGATCCTTCGGGAACAAGATTCCCTTCGAGAAGAGCATTAAAACAGGGGAAGAAACTTGGCAGGGAAGCGGGATCAAGAAAAAGACAAAACGGGGGAAATAACGAATGAGACAGCACAATATGAATATAATGAATAAATTGGCATATGTAATGCGTTTGCTGCCTTAGGGGCGGCGAGGGGTGGGCGTGGCACCTGGAGATTTGCCCTGAATGTGGCACTGATTATATGCCATGAGATTTACATGAATGTGCGTAGCAAGGCGGAGCGAGCGCACATGCGATGATGGCTGTCGGGGCAGGAATCCCCCGTGAGTCTCCGAGGAAAAACCGTATGGACGGCATCCTCCTGATGGCATGGGGTCGACGACCAGCCTTCAACTTTGACATTTGTCTCTGTCACCGCACATTATCCCATCCCGCTGATGTTTTGAGTTATGGGTATCGATAAGCGACAAATGCGACAGCTTTCCATTCGATTCATAACGTTTTTGGGCGCGCAGGTTCAAGAGGCTGGCTGTACGTATATTCATATTTCTGGAGATAAGTAGTAATTTGACTTGATTTCGAGTAGAAGAGAGTAACTATAATAACTTTGACGTTCTAAGAACTCAGAAAATGCATCATGCTTTCTAAAGTTTTCCCCCTTTTTCAGCTGAAAATTTGCCTCAAATTTTCCTATAAGCCCCAAATTCATAGCTTGTCAGTCCCAACAAAAGGTAATCCATCTTGCTCATTTCGGAGAGTTTGAGTTTTTAAAATCCCAATCATGTAGCAATAGATTGCAAATTGACTTTCCGTCAGTCGATTACTGATATTGATGAGTAATGTTTGGCCTGCCTTGCCATTAGTTCAGTGATTGTTGGCAAACGCTGACGTTATTTATTGTCTCCTTCGATCGAATGAGCATTTTCCCTCTGCATCCTGTCCACATTTCGCATCGATTTCCCCTGCCGATGCAGTTCTTCAAATAATTTGAAGCTCTCGAGCATTTGACTGGTTTATGCGTGTAATTACAGAAGGTTCTCTCGGCGGAACCACCGCTGCAGCACCACCCAACACCGCCCACCACTTGGCATTCGACCTCAAATGGAACCTACCCACCTACCTACCCAGTCCCCCTCCTCTGAAAGGCCCCCTTTGGATCCCTAATGCCGCTCCTTGTGCACACAAAATTACACGACATTAGCATAATGTGATTTTGTAAGCATCTGATTTGCACACACACACACACACAGATATGATATGCGTATGTGTTTCTCGCTTTGTGTGTGTGAGTGTATGAGTGTATGAGTGTGCCTGTGTGGGCACGGTCAGAGTGGTCGTGTGCTCAACTTGTTGACTTCATTCCGCCACGGACACTGAGAGAATATGCATTGAAAAATAGGAATT